GGGCAGACTAGGGACCCAAGGTTGACATGGTTCTAAACAAAAAAGTATCGATGTGGATGTTTAAGCCTTGTTAAACCTCAATGTATGTGTAACTGTGATGGAATACAGTTACATGTTGTTACATGTATATCATTACTGCTCAGCCCTGACTGTGAGTACACTGGATAATCATACATACGCACATTAATGAACTTCTGTAGTTTGAGTAGGACATTTGAAGCATATTCCTGAAGTTTTTAAAAGGTCTAAAGGGTAAACGTCACGGCTTAAGTAAAGGCAAATAATGAAGGACGGATTAATCAACAACTACAAATGTAATCAAATTTTTGTGTTTGATTTCTGGAAAAAGTTTGAACTTTGATCAATTATTTGGCAACTGCCCCTGCATTTAGTTGCAGCAAGAGTTAAAGGGGTTCTTCTAAAAGTTCAGCCTGCAGCCTGATTGGCCAGGGATGATGAAGTTATTCTCCAATCACCATTTCCTATCACACACTNCAATTATTTGGCAACTGCCCCTGCATTTAGTTGCAGCAAGAGTTAAAGGGGTTCTTCTAAAAGTTCAGCCTGCAGCCTGATTGGCCAGGGATGATGAAGTTATTCTCCAATCACCATTTCCTATCACACACTACTATGCGCCTGAATGTTTTTACTGACATATTGTGAGTACACTGCCAGTCTGGATACTCACCAGTACAGACATATTGTGAGTACACTGCCAGTCTAGATACCCATAAGTACAGACACACTGTGAGCACTGTTGAGTAGGTTAGTTTTATCATGTATTCCATTGCAGAACACTGAATACATACTCTAAAAGTCATTTGTAATATATTCTGTTATATCACCCGAGGTCCATCCATCCATCCATCCATTTTCTCCCGCTTATCCGAGGTCGGGTCGCGGGGGCAGCAGTCTCAGCAGGGAATCACCCGAGGTCATGTACTGTAGTCTAAATCCTTTGGACTGCTTTCAAAAACTTGCTCATTGTCGGGGAGAGTGATCAGCTCCCCCGGCTGCCGGCCCACAGAGTATGAGACATGCGCTGTTTTACTTGCTGCAAGGGTAACCACACCACAGTGTGAGCTACAAAGGTGTGGCTCCTCGACAGAGTTTATTTATACTATAAGGTAAACATACTGATCAGGTTACATTGTGGGTGTGAACAACATTTGGAATGGGATAGAAGCAATGGGAATGTGGGAGTGGAAACAGGAACAACAGAACGTGTCAGAGGTGGCCTCGTCTGCTGCACGTGATGGAAGATTACTGTTAAGCATTTACACAGTTGCTACATGGAACAAGTTATGCATTCTTCAGAATACACGTGAGTGATAATATATACAGTTATGCATTCTTCAGAATACACGTGAGTGATAATATATATATACAATTTCAACCCAACACTCATAAATACAGCGCCCTCCACAATTGTTGGCACCCCTTGTAAAGATTTGTAAAAAGGGCTAGAAAAAATGCACCTTTTACTGAAGTAGCCTCAGCTCACATTGAAAAAATGAGAAAAATTCAACATTTCATTGAAATAAATATATTCAAAGAAAAACAAATCCATCATCAAGAAATAATTATTTTCAACAAAAACACATGTGTCACGATTATTGACACCCCAGCATTTAATACTTTGTACAACCTCCCTTGGCCAGTATAAGAGCACTGAGTCTTCTCATATAACATTTTATAAGGTTGGAGAATACAGAGCAGGGCTTCTGAGTCCATTCCTCTGTACAGAATCTCTCCAGATCACCCAGGGTCCAAGGCCCTCTCCTGTGCTCTCTGCTCTTCAGCTCAGCCCACAGGTTCTCAGTGGGGTTCAGGTCATGGGACTGAGATGGCCATGGCAGAAGATTCATTCTGTGGTCACCTAATCATTTTTGTGTTGATTTGGATAATTGTCCTGCTAGAAGATCCAGTGATGGCCCAGTTTTAGTTTTGATATAAAATGTCCTGGTATTTCCTGGAATCCATAATGCCATGTACCCTAACGAGGTTTCCAGGGCCTTTGAAGGAAAAACAGCCCCACAACATCACAGAACCTCCACCATATTTTACAGTTGGGATGAGGTTAATTTCATTATAACCATGTTTACGCCAAACCCACCTTGACTGTTTATTGCCAAAAAGCTCCATTTATGTTTCATCACACCATTGAATTTGGTTCCAGCCAAAGTTGTAGTAGTGTTTCACAAACTCCAGTTCACAAATAGTGATCATTGGGGACTTTTTGCCTCTCTTACGATCCTCCTCGCTGTACGTGGGGGCAAAATAAACTTGGGCCCACTTCCAGGCAGGTTAGTAACAGTTCTAGTTGTTTGTTTGTTGTTTATTTCAAACATATTCACATTCACCATATTTACATAACATACTATATTTCCAGTCTTTTATGTCTGACAAGGAGTAGGCTGAAGTATAAACTTATTTAGCTCTATGTCACATCCGACTCGTACGATCCTCGTGTGTGCCACGCCCCCCTCATTACCTCGTGTTAATTCCTGATTGTGATCACCTGTTGCTTGTTCAGTTCAGCCTGTCTGGTGTATTTAGTCCGTCTCTAAGTCCGTATGCGTCAGATTAGTCATTGAAGTTTCGTAATGTCTGTTGCCGTCTGTTCTGTCTCCCTGAATAAACCCCATTTGTCCGTATCTACGGCTCCGCTCGCCTGCTTCTCCGCTCGTCCGCTTGCCGAACCGTAACACTCTAACCCCATCCAATTATTTACAGCTCACTTTAAACACTTTTTGTCAAATAAAGAAAAGACAACATGACAAAACAACACTATTACTGTCATATAAAGACTGAACACACCAAATGACACATTTCTTTCAAAATGTAAGTTTTGGCATTACCATTACCATTACCATTACCAATACCATCCCGAGGTAAACTGCTCTTCTTCATCCTCATATTTATTTCGAATTTGTACTTTATATTTTCTTTTAAACTGAGATATTTTTACTTTGTTTTAATTCCTCTCGCTTTAAATATTATCTGTTGTTTTAAACTGGATCTATTCTGGAAATTTTATAGCTCCTATTTTTATAAAGAGTCCATTTGTATGATCTTTATATCCTACTTTATTTATTAATCTAATGGCCCTCTTCTGCATTATATTTATTGTTTGCAGATTACTTTTATATGTTTCCTCACACCTCTACACAATAGCTCAAATATGTTAAAAGTAATGTACAATATAAGGTATATAGTGATTTCAGATGTAAGATATGCCTTGTTTTGCCCAGGATGGCCAGGCTCTGTGCCAGATTCCCCCAACATATTTAATGGTTTCCAACAGATTTTGTGGTCTAACATCACACCAAGGAATTTAATTTCATTTACCCTTTCCATGTTTACATAATCAATACATATTTTTTTTTACTTCCATATTTCCAAATGACATAAATTTATTTATATCAAACCATTTAAAAAAAAAATTATTTCCTTTGTGATCACCTCCAAAATCTGCTGCACTTCCACCCCAGAACAAAAAATATTTGTGTGATCTGCAAAGAAAACAAATTTTTAATATATTTCATACTCTATAAATATCATTTATATACATTATAAACATTTTTCGACCTAAAACTTGAGGTACCTCACATGCTATATTCATACATCTAGATTTATGTTGATTTATTTGTACAAATTGTTGCCTGTTAGTTATGTAGCTTTTTAACCAGTCCAATACAATACCTCAAACCATACTTCTCCATCTTTCTAATCAGTATATCATAGTTGACACTTGACAGTGTCAAATGCTTTCTTTAAGTCTAAAAACACTCCAAGTGCATACCTCTTATTATCAATACATTCTGTTATTTCTTCTACCAAGTCCATCAATGCCAAAGCTGTCATTCCTAAATCCATATTGGCTGTCCGTCAACAAATCATGTTTCTCAACAAAACTGTCAAATCGTTTTATAAATAGTTTTTCTAATATTTTAGAGAACTGGGAAAGTACTGATATCGACCTATAATTAGTAAAGTGGTGCTTTATCTCCTGCTTTGGAACAATTTTTGCTATTTTCATTTTGTTCGGAAAAACAGTTTGAAAAGACAAGTTAAAAATATACGTTAAAGGTTTTACAATACCATCAATAACATTCTTTACTGTTACCATATCAGTATCATTCCAGTATGTACTAGTTTTATTCTTAAAGCCCTGATGTCCACTTTTTATTATTGCCATATGTTACGATCCCCAGTCTAGGGTTGGCCAGTCTAGGCAGTAGAAATGGGCATTTTCAAGCGAGTGGATTATTTTAATATCCATTCCCTGACTTATGAAGGTCAACACACTTCATTTGGTGCCAATACTTCATTTGGTTTGTGTGTTCTCTTATCTTTCCCACGTTGATGGATGACTAAGGGAATTTGGACTATATGTCACCCCATGTTTGTACCCCAGTTAATTAGGAAGTCATGCATTACAACTTGAATGTTCCAATCAACTCAAAGATGTACAATTCACATGGGAAACATGCTTCAGTTACATTATGTTCACCATAATTTCTAGGGGTGCCAATAATCGTGGCACATGAGTTTTTATTACAAATAATAAATTTTTTTTTTCTTTGAATATACAGTAAAACTCGTCTAAGTCGCCGGCTTGTAACTCGTCAATGTGCACAAGTCGACGCTCA